CCTTAGCCTCCTGAGTCACTGGGATTACAGCCCCCCCCACCGCCCCCACGCCCCCACCACCCCCACGCCCCCACGCCCCCACCCCCCCCACCTCCGCACCTGGCTCAAATTCCTTTTCATTCATTCACTGTTAAAACAAGAAAATTATTTTAGTACCCCTAAGCAAGACTTTGGGGGATAGGGGGTGGGCACCAGGGATTGAATGCAACTCAAGGGCACTGAGTCACATCCCCAGCCCTATTTTTGTATTTAGAGACAGGGTCTCATTGAGTCACTTACCATCTCACTTTTTTGCTGAGGCTAGCTTTGAACTTGAGATCCTCCTGTCTCAGCCTCCCAAGCTACTGGGATGACGGGCATGTGCCACCACACCCAGCTCCTAATCAAGACTTTTTAATCTTTTACAATGACAATCAAATACAAGGTTGTCCACCCTCAACATCTAACATGTTCTGCCCTAAGTCATACTTTCCTACATGCTTTATTTCCACAAAATCCAACTTCTTAGTCTTAAAAATTAAGTTCTCTGTAAAAATTTTTGGCCCACTCTAATCAAGCCTCAAAAGTATTTCTGCTTTTTTCCCCTTTTCCGCTTAACTCTGCATATTCTCTTTAATACAAAGGATCGTAACACAAATTAGAATTAGAATTCTACCAGTATTCTCACCAGGCATGATAGTGTATGCCTATAATCGCAGGGGCTTAGGAGGCTGAGGCAGGGGAATCGTAAGTTCAAAGCCAGCCTCAGCAACAGTGAGATGCTAAGAAACTCAGTGAGACCCTGTCTCTAAATAAAATACAAAATAGGGCTGGGATGTGATTCAGTAGTTGAGTGCCCCTGAGTTCAATTCCCAGTACCCTTCCCCAAAAAAAAGATCTACCAGTATTCTCAACTGAAACCAAGCAAATTAGCACAAAATTTAAAAATGGGGATTCTAGCCAGTAATGGTGACCTGCATCTCTAATACCAGACATTCAGGATGCTAGAGCAGGAGGATTTCAAGTTTGAGGCTACCAACAGCCATTTACTCAGATCCTATCTCAAAAAAATAAAAAGGTGGCATACACCTGTAATTCTAGTGTCTCAGGAGGCTGAGGCAGAATGAAAAAAGTTTGAGGCCAGCCTCAGCAACACAGCAAGACCCTAAGTAACTTAGGAAGATTCTGTCTCAAAATTTATAATAAATAAATAAAAGGGGCCTGGCATGTGGCACACCCCTGTAATCCTAGCAGCTTGGGAAACTGAGGCAGGAGGATCACGAGTTCAAAGCCAGCCTCAGCAACAGCAAGGCACTAAGCAACTTAGTGAGACCCTATCTCATAAATAAAATACAAAATAGGGCTGGAGATGTAGCTCAGTGGTCAACTGCCCCTGAGTTCAATCCCCAGTACTAAATAAATAAATAAACAAACAGGGCTGGGGATATGGCTCAGTGGTTAAGCACCCCTGAGTTCAATTCCCTGTACCAAAAATAAATAAATAAATAGAGCTAAGCCAGCTGTAGTGATGTACACCTATAATCCCAGAGACTCAGGAGGCTGAGGCAAGAGGATTGCTAGTTCAAGGCCGGTCTCGGCAATTTATCGAGACCCTGTCACAAAATTAAAAATTGAAAAAGAGGCCTGGGGATGTAGCCAGTGGTAAAGCGGCCCAGGGTTCAATCCCCAGTACCAAAAAAATAAAATAAAATATAAAAAGGCACCAGGAATACAATTCAGAGGTAAAGCCCATTACGTTCAATCTGCAGTATAGAATCAGGGTTAGCAAGACTTCTGCAGCCAGATTGTCAGGGTTCAAATCAGAGCTCTTGCATTAGCTGTGTATAACTCTACAACTTACTTAACCTCTCTGTGCCTCATGTGTAAAATGAAAATAAGAATTATTATTTTAGGGCTGGGGGTGTGGCTCAGTGGCAGAGAGCTTGTCTAGGACGCGTGAGGCTCTGGGTTCAATCTTCAGCACCACATAAAAATAGATAAAACAAAGGTATCATGTCCATCTATAACTAAAAAATATTTTTAAAAAAAGAATTATTATTTTATAGCGTTTCCATAAGGTTTAAGTTAATTAGAATGAAGCCTGACAGATGAGAACTATTTTTTTTGTAAATTATGAAAACTGGAAATTCAAAACAAATAAGACAATTAGTTTAGGATGGACTATTAACTGGAATAGAGCAAGAGGAAGTGCTCCATAGTGGTACTCAAGGTTTTATAACTTGATAAGGGTGATGATTTTGAGGCAAAAGAACCCATTTTGGATGCTTGAGCAAAGTATAGTATACAAATGACACCTCAAAAAATTTTTTTTAATTTAGATTAAGTTTGTACAGCTTAATTGAAAGCTCAAAGCCAGTCCCTTTAAATATAATCAAGAAAAAGGGCTAATAAAAGATCAATTAAAGTTATAAACTGGACTACAGATGTAACTTAATGATAGAATACTAGTTACCCAGTTTGCACAAGGTCCTGAGTTCATCCCTAGCACAACATTAAAAGAAAGAAAAATTTAGTTATCAATGATATTTTTAGTGACAAATAAGATGAGGTTCAGTGTCTCTAACAGCCGACACACAAAAGATCCTCAAATATTTGAATAAATGACCTGTCTGATTTAACTTTTTTCTATTATTATAACCACCACAATGTTTATAAAACACATTGCCTTTTTTAATACTTCATTATATGCTATTTTTTACTACTCTGCATTATTTCTTATCTGTTAGGCTTAAGCTGCTTTCCAGATGGTTATTTCCTTGAGAGCAGTGGCCCTCTACTTTAAGATTTGCATTGCTGAAGAGCACAGTAAAAATGATCAAATATGTTAATGAATGTGAAATAACCTTGAAAATGAAAGATTACATTGATGGGGTGTGTTTTTTTGTTTTTGTTTTTTTAACAGCACTGGAAAATGAATCAAGGGGCTCTCTACCACCAAACCCATCCCTAATCCTTTTTTTTTCCCCAACACACGAACTTTTTTTTTTATTAGTTGCTCATGACAATACAATGATCTTGACATATCATACATTTGATTCAAATGGGGTATGAATTCTCATTTTTCCATGTGTACAGGTTGCAGGATCACATTGGTTATACGGTCACGAATATACATACAGCAATACTAGTAACTATTTATTTTGATACAGGGTCTCACTAAACTGCCCAGACTGGCCTCTAACTCAAAATCCACCTGCCTTAGTCTGCCAAATTTTGGTATTACAGGTATGCACCACTACAACCAGCCACATTAAGTATTTTTAATATAAGTATTCAATAAATATTTCTTGAACCCAAAGCTAACCTTATCATATCCACTAATAACTCACTCCCATTTCACAGTAACATCAATAATACACATTAAGCCAGGTGTGGTGGCGCACACCTGTAATTCCAGCCAGCGCTCAAGAGGCTGAGGCCAGAGGATCACAAGTTCAAAGTCAGCTTCAGCAATTTAGCAAGGTCCTAAGCAACTCAGCAAGACCCTCTTCTCTAAATAAAAAATATAAAAAAGGGGGCTGGGATTGGCTCAGTAGTTAAGCACTTCTGGGTTCAACCCCCAATACCAAAAATATTAATAATATAATACAAGTTAACTGTACAATATTTAGATTCTCTAATTTGCTGTAGCTGCATTTCAAATATCTTCTCCAGCAACTTGGGAGGCTGAGGCAGGAGGATCACGAGTTCAAGGCCAGCCTCAGCAACTTAGCAAGGCTCTATCTCAAAATAAAAAGGTCCAGGGATGTAGCTCAGTCATAAGTGCCCCTGGGTTAAATCCCCAGTATCAAAAACAAACAAACAAATATTTTATTTAAGTCTTAGTGTTTGTTCTTAACAGTTCTTAGACTTCAATGCTTCTATAAATTAAAATCTAGTTTCCTATCAACAATAATCTTAATCTCTTAAAAAAAAAAACCTGTACTTTCACATATTCCCCATGTATTCAGAGCAGTTGGAAACAAAGCATTTACCCGTTTTCAAACTTGCATAAGATTATAGTTCTTCTCTTCATAAATATCACCACAGAAAGGAATTTTTTCACAGCATGGTATCAAGGATTAAATGTTTAAGATACCGATATTCCAGTGATATTCTCCTTAGAAAACGTATGAACATTCCTCCCCAATATTTTTCACTTTTTTCCCTCCTTAAGATAATGCAGTCCTGTATGCCATAATCCCAGCTACTCAGGAGGCTAAGGTAGGAAGATGGTAAATTCAAGGCCAGCCTCAGCAATTTAGGAAGACTGTCATCTCAAAATAAACAAGGATTAGAGATGTAGTTCAGAGGTAAAGCACCCAGGGGTTCAATCCCTAGAACCAGAAAAAATAAATAAATAAATAATGGGATAACATTATATACCACATAGTTATTATGTACCAGGTTGTAGGCAAATCATTGAGAAAACACCAATAAAAAGACAGTTCAGCTGGGGCTTAGTGGTGCACTAATAATCCCAGCGACTCAGGAGGTTCAGACAGGAGGATCACCAAGTTCAAGGCCAGCCAGGACAATTTAGCAAGACCCTGTCTCAAAATAAAAAATAAAAAGGTCTGGGGATGTAGTTCAGTGGT